AAGTCAATAGAGAAAGACCTTCCTAGGGAGGCCATTCCACAGTTTTGGGGGAGGGGGAAAGATCCACTCACAGTAGCAGCCCATTGGATCTAGCTGTGTGGTGATGTTCAGAGCACAGCCTTGTACATTAATAATTTGCGAAGATTCTCCTTGTTATTTATCTGATCACATTTATATTTTTACAATCCACCCAACTGCTCTTATGTTGTTGTAAAGCTATTGTGGATATGGACTTCCTGGTCCTTCAAGTGCAAAACTATCCAAAGAGCCATGTGGCTATTGCGACAACATATAAAAGTGTTAGACAAACAAACAAGCAACCTGGCACTGCTTGTCTGAATTCATTTCTAATCAGTAGAGAGTACAAATGAGCCTGTTATTAAGTATGAATTATCTGGCACTTCTGTTTTTCATCTGGGAAGCCTTGACTATAAAATAACTTTACATTTGTACCAAGAGATCGGTTTCAGTTACATTGGGCTTTGCAATTTTTATTTTAATGAAGAAACTACTTGCAGAAATTCCCTAATTTGCCTCTGCAGTCCAAGTGGTGCAAATATGGAAGATTTTCCTCATCACTATTGCAACAAGCACCAGGACACCTTGATAATCTGTGTGTTTTAACAGAGATCCAAAACATTCAAATAATAAAGAAGGATAAAATAGGCTGCTATATGCATATTTACACACATGAAACAAGTGGTGAGAAGTTTCTTGTACTCTGAGGAAATATTGAGAGATCTAGGCATGTTCAGCCTGAGGGGTGATATGATACCACTCTACAAGTACCTGAAAGGCTTTCACAAGGAAGGACAAGATCTCTTCTCATTCATTCCAGGGTGCAGGACACTGAATAATGAATTTAAGTTAAAAGAAAGCAGGTTTAAACTAGACACCAGGAAGAATTTCCTCACTGTCAGAGCAGTTCATCAATGGAACAATGGAAAATATTATCTGGGGAAGCTGTGGGCTGTCCCTTGCTGAAGACATTCCAAAAGTATCTGGTCTCTCATCTGAATGGGCAGTCAACTTCAATAGCAGAGGGTTGGACCCGATGGCCTTCTGGTCCCTTCCAACTCTACTGTTCCATGATTCTGCTATTTAAAATCTACATTAACTTCCAGTCACACAATCCTATGCATTTTTATCCAGGGAGCAAGTCTCATTGAGCTCCGTTTTTTTAGAAACATGCTGCTTATATAGGCAATGCTATGTGCTTCCCCTACCAGTAAGCAGTTCCACCTGCAGTACTAGAAGTTTAGCATGCCTTGAATGAGTGGGCACCTGATATTTATGGTGTCTTCATAATATTTGCTTTACTTCCAAATATGTAGTAAGATCACATGTGCAAGCAAAGCTCTCCAACAATACAGCATACCTGCCAAACCAACATCCCCAGGGGGCATACTACACCCCCACAGTACATTCAGCTAACTCAAAGCTGTCTCTCTCCATTCCAAAAAAATTTGTTTCATCATGCAACCATTAGTTCCCATCCATGGACCATTCTGAGCGATTAACAAGCAGATAACAACAGAATTGTCATCAGTGGTTCCAGCAACAGTTGATTATTATTAGCTACCCTCATGCATTTTAATCACTTCTGGTTGGCTTGAACAGACTGCTTTCCCCACACTTTGAGAGATTGTCCTGGGTGAAGAGGGAATTCTGTTGATGCTCCTGACAAATTGTTGCATAGTAACTTAGAACCAAATTGAATGTGCATGAGGTAGTGTAGTGTATTTGTGTCATAAAAAGTCTGTAAATTACAACAAGTAACGAGAACCTTTTTTATTCCTGTTGCATATGCCTAAAGAACACAGCATTGTTGACATTGTTTATTCACTCTTAGAGAAGTAATGTACAGAGAGAGTGTTGTGTGAAGTGTCCCTGAATGTTATATGGCACAAACAGCAGGCCTGCTCTATGTCCTGACAACCCACCCTGACAAGGGTGGGTTGGTTGTTGTGTGAACATCCAAGGGTGCACCCAACAGATGATCAGGCTCACCATGGGTTTCAGTTTCCTTCTCCCACCTCAGTCTTCCCAGGAAACACCAAAGCAAGACTGGATTGTATCCCCCCACACCCCCACTGCAACTGAGAGCTGATTTCAGCTTGCCTTGGGGTTTTTTTGCACTTTAAATATTTTATTTCCAGAGACCCCTTTTTGGCAGCCAGTGATGCTCTTTCAAAGCGTCTGATGGGGTGGGGTGTCAGAACCTTTCTTTTAAAAAATGCACAAAATGTTTTGAGAAAACTTTAAAAAAAGAATGTACTGTAGCTGTACTTGCACAACTGTGGCAAAGCTTCATCTGGGACAATGTCTTGGGGAATTCTTGCAGCAGATACCAACACTAGACATTGCCAAAATGAGAAGTTCTTTTGCCCCGCTTTTCTTAAGATTTGAAAAAATGGGAAAGTACAAAAGTGCTTCCATGCCCCATTTTTTAACTCCTTTAAAGGGGGAGTTTATAGGCCAATGGAGGCCTTGGGATTGGAACATATGGCGGTATATGTCCCAGTCTAAAAACCCCATTGCCCCATCAAAATCCCCTTTTAACAGGCTCCAGAGTTTTGACAGCTACATGTCAAGACTACTTTTCCCAGGGGAAAAAAAATGGTATCGAAGCACTTTTTCACCTTCCTGATTTTTCCAACTCTCTAGAAAAAAAAAGAGCCCACAACAAACCAAAATCTGCTCACAGTCATGGCAGGAAGAGAGGCTGCCATGTGGAGACTCTGGTGCTGATAGGGGCCTTGATTCACTTGGCCAGAGCAGCAAGAGTTTTTTGCAGTTCTTGCTTAGTGGGTTGATAGACAATCTTGAGCACCCACAAAGGGCTGTTCACCTGTGTTCAGAAAATTTGAAAACACACCCTTCAAAGTGGAAAGCCGAAGACTGTCCAACTGTCAAGGACTGGAAAAAAAGTTAGCTGGATATGCAATGATGGTGAAATTAACTAACTACATTAGCAGAAGGCCAATCAAAGTAGGTTAAGTTAGGTGTATGATCATCACACAATTTGCATGCGGCTTATTACAGTACAGAAGTAATGTTATAATGGCGAGGCAACCCTAATAAATATAATGGGCAATCACAGTATGAAAATGCATTTTGCAATTATAACTGTGTGATGTATGTGATAAATTGTGCTAGAATTGTGTCATACATTCACTGAGATGAAACCAGGGACTTTAAGGTGTAAGAAAGGTTTGTTTTTACTTTTTTAAAAGAAAGTTTATAATGCCACCCCTGCCACCCTGTTTTATTCTCACAACACTGTATCAGCGCACCTATACTGAGCGCCAGTAACGGCCCCACTATGACCTAGTGAGAATCAAGACTGATTAGGGATTTGAACCTGGGTTTCCCCAGCTGTAAATTCAACAGTCCCCAAACCTGCAGTAGTTTTGGATTTTCAATTCCATCAGCCCCAGCCATCATGGGTAATGATCTGGAATTATAATCCAAAAGAACAGAAAACACCAGGACTGGGGAAGGGTGCTCAACTTGAGACATTACATTGGCTTTCCGCTGCTCTTTCTCCTGGTTTGTCCTTTTCCTCAGCTCACCCAGATCACATTACTTAGTGGAAGATAAGGAATGTATGGCCTCTAGTTGGCTATGACCCTTCTCAAAACTTCCTGGATCCCGCATGGGGCCACCTCCTACCATGAAGTTCTTTGAAGGTTCATAGGTTCAGCAAGGCTGACATGCAAAGATGTACCTCTTTAGTTGTGAGCAGACCCCATTTTTAACCCTTTGGGTCAATGGCTTGTGATTAAGAGAGAAAAGAATCACCAGCTCAGGGCAAAACAGATGTTACTTTAAACTTGTTTCTGGCAGCTACCTCTTCCTACCATGTGAATCTAGGGATTGCACTATAGTGGAGGCACAGAGGGACAAATGAAAGCTTGTAGTTGCTTGTCACAAAGACAGAGATCTAAAAGTAATGCATTTAATTATTACATTTCTATACCGCCCAATAGCTGAAATTCTCTGGGTGGTTTAAAGGTTAAAACATTAAAAATACATTAACAAGTCTCCTAACCGTACAAACATGGCACGCGCACACACACATCTATATAAACATAATTTTAAACAATCCTCATGCAAGGCCAGATTAAAATCCTTATCGTGGGCTGCCCAATGCCTGAGAGAAGGTCTTAAGCTGGCACCTAAAGGACAGCGAAGCTGGCGCCAGGTGGGCATTGTCGGGCAGCTCATTCCACGAAGGGCCTGTTTTGAGCCCTTAGGGTGCCTCCTTCGGAAACAGATGCGACATGTTTGGGACCGTGGACCTGTGGCTCAGCTTCACCTTCCTGAAAGGGCTGCTGCGAGGGGGAAAGAAAACGCGAGGGCCAGGGAGCGACGAACGCGCGCTACCCTTGCGGTTTTCGGAGCAAAGGAGTCCTATCAAGACACCAGACGAGCCAGTTGCTCTAAGCGCGTGCGGGTAAGACGGAAGCAAACCCCGAAGAGCCGTGCAGACGACCACGTTGCGGCGCAGATCTGCCCGCGCTGCCACCGAAACGCTTCCTTCTCCGGAGGAGGGCTGGCACCGAGGCCAGGCTCAGCCTTGCCCGACTTGGCACCCTCCAGCTGGGCTGGACCGCAACGCCTATCATCCTCGGCCGCGCGGCCGACCGTTCTACATTCTGGAGAGTTAGGCGGGCGTATGAAAGGGAGGTACGGAAACAGCGCGCCCTAATTCAGGGTGGTGCCGGCGGAGAGGAGGCAACGTGTGCGGCGCGCACATGGGAGGAAAGCCGACGAGGGCTCGGCTCGCCCGTTCTGGAAGAAGCCAAGCGCTCTGCGGCTGCCACCGCCCCCTTCCCATCAGTCCTTCGCTTCGTGCTCGCCCCCTCCTTCCTCCTCCTCCTCCTCCTGCGGCGGGCAGGACGCCTGCGCCCGGCGCTGCCTCCGGAGGGGGATGGTGGTGGCCGCGGGAGAGGAGGAGAGGAGGAGGCGCATCCTGGGCGCCAGGGAGCCGCTGAGCGACCATGGGCGGCGAGCGCTGAGAGTCTCCGCCTCGCCGGGGTCGCTCGCGCACTGCAGAGGAGGACAAAGAGCGGCGGGCGAGAGCGCGAGCGGCCGCCTCCGTGTTGTCGCCGTCGGCGCCATGGGGGACAGGCTGCGGAGCCAAGCGGGCGTCTCTGCAGCGGCGGCAGCCGCGACGACGGCGGCCCCCACCTGCTCGCTGCGTAATGGGCTGCTGCACAACGGCTTCCACGCGCTGCCCAGTAATGGAGAAGCACCGCACCCGCTGCTCTTCCGCCAAGACCTGCCTCTGCCCAGCCACGGCTCGCCGACTAAGAAATGCCGGACGCGACGGAGGATGGACTCGGGCAGAAAAAACAGGCCACGTAAGTGCGGAGCGAGGCGGCCCGCCTTGGGCTGTGCAGTGCATTGCATTGGGTTTTTAGCATGCCTGCGTGGGCCTTGCACGGCGGTTTCAGGCGATGCTGAGCGGGCGAGGCTGCTTCCTTCGACTCCCAGGGATGCGGCTCCCAGCCCCGAGTCTCCGTTCCTCGGCCGTCTGTTCAAGGTGCTGGGAGGCACAGGGCGGCCGAGGAACGAGGTGGGAGCTGCTCACGTGTGCGGCCTCAAATGTGTAAAAGCACCTTCGTGTGATGAAATCCGGAGCTTGAACAAGCAACGGCTTCATTACTCAGCGGGATGCAGATTAATTAATAGTCTTTTTTCAACATTAACCAAAAAACCCTGACAAAAATTGATGGGAAAAGAACCCCCTGCTGATTTCTCCAGCGGAATGTGCCTATCCCATGTTCAAGGATCTGATCCTTCCTCCTGAGGAGTTGCTCTGGCGGTGTGCGCGACAACGGCTTGTTCCACCGCGCAACTATCAGTTCATTAAATAGCGTGTCGGGCCAGCCAATGAGAGACCCTTCCCGGGGAACACACCCACTGATCCCACGGAGGCTGGCCCTCGGACGACCAATCAGGAGGCTGGGAAGGAGTGGGTTTGTCTTGGTTTCTACCCCGCTGGGTGCAGAACGCTAAAATGAGAGATTTCTCAATTTATACTCTTCATAAATGTGACCTTGCTAGTCCAGATAACCATTTGCCAGGATGTAAAAGTCACACTGACTTGGATTGTCAGTCAAGGAAACCTCCTTCTGTGTCTAGTAATAACTCAGAATGAAGCTTATAATTGAGGAGAAAACGTGTAAGTAAATTATTGATGGCTAAATGAAGGATAGTCTTACACTTGTCGATACTGTGCTTCTCCTTGTCTCTGATTAAATGTAGGGAATAATTTGGGAAAAGGGGAAGAGTTGATCAGGCAACAACATCCAACTTTAGATAATACTTGAAAGATACTGCCTTTGGGTAGAAGAGTGTATTTGATTATCAAACCAATCTCATCTGACACTGTTTCTGTGAAATTTCTCTCCCTTTTCACTTAAATTGCAAATATTAACCTGAAGTCCTTCAAAAAAAGTCCAACTGATAGGCATGTTTCTTAGCTTCATGCACATGTGTGATCACCCTATAACAAACTTAAGGAGTTTATCATGCTATGCCATAATGATCCAGAAGAATTCGTGTTATGTTTGTAAGTATGTAGAAAAGAGAGGACTTAGAAATTGTTGACACATGAAATTAACTGCTTGATTCAAAGTTTGTTTACTTAATAGTCAGATGTATTCAGTGGGTCTTCCAGAGCCATGTATTTAGGATTACCTCTATTGAACTACAATGTTCAATATTGAGCTAGTGTATAGTAACTTCATATGTGAGTGTGTTTTGAGGAAGGTAAACCATCTTTCTGGACATCTTGTTGAGACAGAAGTGCTTATTCTTCCTGGCAATGAAGACAAATAAAGATTTTGTGAGGTCATTATATTATGTCATTACTATGCATAATCAGGAAGAACTAGAATGAGAGTTGATCTTTGAAGCATTTACAATCTAAAGCTAAATAAGGGGAGGAAAAAAGAAAATAAAGTGCATATGCCAAGACTGAGCACCTAGGAATTATACATTTTACTTACTTATTTGTTTAACTTGTATACTATTGAATCACCACAGCTCTCCTAGATGTTTACAACAGTTTCTAAACTGGACCATGATACAAACTAGAAGTGATTCTGTAAATGATTACATTCACTAAAAGTACACTAGATCTGAGCAACTGGAGTTTTAACCTCATTCAGACATGGATGTATTTATTATGATTTATGACTTAGGTGTAGAAATTGAATTTGTTCTAAAGATGCAGTTTGCCATTAACATTGGTAAATTTCCTTAGGTGTTTTGTGATGAAGAAATGACCTTTGCAGATGTGCAGCTGTGTTGAACAGAACTATAACAGAACATGTTAGAATTGTGTAGAATGATCCTAGGTATGTTTACCTAGAAGTAACATTTTAGAACCCAGTGGAAGTTATCCCTAGAAGCCTACATTGGCATTATTTAAGGAATAAAGAAATGCGATGATTCTCAAACATGTTCAATTTGAATCAGGAAGAGAAGCCAAAGTTTGCAAGTTTGCAAGTCAGATGCCAACTAGCTCCCCACCCCCACCTCTTTTTTGGAATTGATGGATATATTTTAGTAGCATTGTTATCCCAGTCCAATCGGGATAGATATGAGCTGTTTTATTTTCTAAAGGACTGTACTATCTGCAGCTTTCAGGGGCTGTCCTGTCAGAAGCTTCTTTTCATTTAAGTGCTTAAGGTACAACACATCTCTAATGGTATTACCCAGGAAAAACTTATGCATGGTCCAGTCAATGAGGTTATGCCTGTAGCTCCAACATGCAGTTTTCAAACTTGGCATGAGTAAGCAAAGCAGAAAAGACACTTTCTAATTTGTGAAATTGTTGGTAGTTTCATCATTCAGTAGTTGCTTAAGGAAAATAATGAAATGCAGTGTTCTGTTCTGCCTTCACTTAATATGAAAAATATAGCCCCAGTACATCTTTGCTTATTGCATTAATCCCAGCCTGACATGGAATGCCAAAAATGTTAAGATAATTATTTGTGGTTTCACTCAATTCTTTAGATTAAGAGAAACTGTGGATTTGCATTCATTTTTAGAGAATAGTAGGGCAAGAAATGGTGTAGAAGAGATGATAAGATCCTTAAAACTGAGATACATTGGAAAAAAAATACTTATGTAACTTCCTACTGAGTACTGAAATAAAATAGTTTGCTCTGAACAGATCTGAGTAGAACACAACAATGAATAATCCGGTCTTTCTGGTTTGATGTAGTTATTCAGAGGCCAGTGCTGAAGTGTTCTTAGTTATGTGTGTTAAAGGGTATATTGCAAATTGCATGAACTGTTTTCATGAAGAGAGCTTGTTCATGAAAGGTCTTGACAAAGCAGACCTTGAAGTCAGAACTATATCTTTTTGATCATTAATCCCTTATGTGCACAAAAAGTAATCATGTTTTTTATGTTGGGGGAGAAGAATACTTCCAATTACAGTGCCAGGCCAATGTATTTATGAAATAGATGCCAGATTTTGTTTGGTAGCAAGCAGCTAACATCTTAGCAAGTGGCTAAGACAGATGTGGAGACACTAGAAATCTAGAACATGGGAAATCTAGAACATGGGAGAGCCAGTGTGGTGTAGTGGTTAAGAGCATGGGACTGGGACTCAGACGACCTGGGTTCTAGTCCCCGCTCGGCCAGGGAGCCAACTGGGTGACTTTGGGCCAGTCACAGACTCTCAGCCCAACTTACCTCACAGGATTGTTGTGGGGGTAAGATGGAGGAGGAGAATGATGTAAGCTGCCTTGAGTCCTTTGTAGGAAAAAGGCAAGATATAAATCGAAGGGAAAAAAATCCAGAATCTAGTTCTTAGATTATGTGAAGTAATTTCAGATTAATCTTATTTTTAGTAAAGAACTTTAGCAGATTAAGCACATACACACATTGCTTTGTGATGAAATGTTTGGCACTGGTGCCAAAAGTGAAGTTGCAGTGATGATCTAGTGCTGAACAGCCCATGGGCAGCATTAATTCTTGTTGAGTTGCCAGAGTTTCTTTGGAGAGCAAGTTTCAGTTGTACTGGGAATGTCCTAGTTAAGGAGAAAGAGATCTGAGGCTGTACAAGACCAGCTTTTGGCTGAAATTGGCCATAGCACCACCTGCATAGAAGTGAAAGAACAGAAGAAGGCATCTGCAGTATTAGAATAGGCTTAATTTAGTATCTTGTTGGCACACCCTGAGAATTTCACTTCTGAGAGGTCATTTTTAATGAATTAGCCCCTTGAGCAGTTAGGTGCCAAACCATATGCTTCTCTCCTGCATGCACGATGTATACAGGCAGTCTCCAGGTGATGAACGAATTCTGTGCCTGAGGAAACAGAAATTTTGTCTTTAGGTTGAATTCAGATCACGTATAGTCAGCCCTCCACATTAGGAGCATAGGAAAAACTGTGACTATCTCTAGCCCACCTACCCCCCAAACTGACCAGCACCTGCTCTTGTAACAAGGAAATGTTGGAGAGATTTCTCTCTGGGCATACTTTGGAGGCCTCTCTCTCCTTTGACTTCCTCTCTATCTACAGTGATTCTGCTGTAAATTTTTCAAATTAATAGGCATTATAGTGGCTTGTTCATTAAGTATGGGTTGTTCATAACTTGGATGTTTGTAACCTGGGAACTGCCTGTATAGTAGATTCCCACAGACTGCCTTAGAGAAAAAATAAAAACATGGATTCAAGTTCTGTACCATGGATCAGAGCAGGCATGGCCAGCTTTTTAAGTCTACATGCCTACTCCAGTGGAGAGTATCAGCCATGAATATTTCTGTTCTTTCTATGCCTTGTCACTGCCAGCACTTTGTAGAGTGGCAGCAGGGGGCTGCTTTTTTTCTTTGTGAACATTAGACATCAAAGCAAACTCCTCTTTTAAAGTTTATATGGAATCTGGCTGGAAGCTGTCACATGTTACTAGGCATTGAACCCTCAGTTAGATGATCTGGCTTTACCTAAGTGAATAATTTATGATGTTACAGTTATTAATTTCCGCTTTTCTGCTCAAGGGATATAGTTAATATTGGTATTTCTAGTCAACTACCATTTTCTGTGTCTTTTTGTCTTCTTCTTTCTCTGCCTGATACAACCCCCTGAATAGAGCTTTTTTATTGATGTCGTTCTGTCCCTCAGCTTGTTTAGAACTATGTATGACTTCACAAATAACATAAAGTTTATAAAGAGAAGAATTGATAATAAGACTTCCTAGTGATTTGAAGTCATCGCAAAAGGCTGATTCTGTAGAAATCCCTACAAGCCTCCGGTCCAACTTACCTAAAATACTGCCTCCATCGCTATGTGTTACCATGACATTTATTGTAACAAAGAAAGTTATCTTAAATGTACCATTT